TTTTCGGAGTTGTTCGTTCAATTTATATTCAATTTATATTCAATTTATATTTATATGTTACTTACGGCAAATGTTACGATAACACTTGTTAAAAGTCAGAATTAATGTCTTATCGTTACTTTTACAAACAAATATGAAACAGCTGTTTTTTTTGGTCCGTAAATCTAGTGTTAAGCATATCGAAACGGATCTAATATTAAACGATTTCCGATTTCGATGAATGCTCGAAGTTTGACGGTGCATTAAAAACGACGCGATAGGATGCAAGGCGCGGTGGGAGCTCGTTACCATATCCGATTTATTTGCGGACGTCCGACCAAAGTGCCTCTTCAGGCTCAAAGAATATGATAAGAAGCCGCTGGTGAGGCAGATCAAACGCGTTTCCGATTGAAATAGTGATACGTTTATCGGCGACTGACGGACTGTGACACGAGTTTCAGTCACGACGGCAAAGTGATCGTTGAAACACCTAATCGTTATTCGTTCCATGCATTTTAGATAGGACGAGTTATTCGAAGAATTAATTCTAAGTAAGTAGTATCGAGAAACTCGTATTGTAGGAATTATTGTAATTATATTATGCATTATATTGAAATTATATTGTGTATTGAAATTATATTATTGTATATTGAAATTATATTATTGTATACTGAAATTATATTATTGTGTATTGAAATTATATTATTGTGTATTGAAATTATATTATTGAATATTCAAGTTATATTATTGAATATTCAAATTATATTATTGAGTATTCAAATTATATTATTGAATATTCGAATTATATTATTGCATATTGAAATTATATTATTGAATATTCACATTATATTATTGAATATTCAAATTATATTATTGAGTATTCAAATTATATATTATTGAATATTCAAATTATATTATTGGATATTCAAATTATATTATTGTATATTGAAATTATATTATTGTGTATTGAAATTATATTATTGAATATTCAAATTATATTATTGAATATTCAAATTATATTATTGAATATTCAAATTATATTATTGTATATTCAAATTATATTATTGAGTATTCAAATTATATATTATTGCATATTCAAATTATATTACTGTATATCGAAAATATATTATTGCATAATAAAATTATATTATCCTAATTATCATGCATTATATCGAATTATTTGTAAGGAAAAACATTACTTCCGTTCCAACTATTTTTGACTCGACCGATACGTACAAATTTGCTTAAAAATACGCAGACTAATTATCAAGTGGTTCCTCGGCGTTCCGAATTTCATTACCGAAAGAACGGTCCCCGGAATTCGCTGGGGCGCTGTTCCGGGTTCGAAAATGTCACCGGCGTCGGACGAGAGGGTTCGATCAATCGGAAGTCGTAAACCGGGACGAAACGCGACTAGTTTGTTTTCCCGGCCGGCATTCGGTACGGATTTATGCATTCGTATAATTGGCCAGATGGCTCCCAGTTTTATTTCGGTGACACTAAAATATTACGGTATCCGCTTCCCCGTGTCATTCCACGTCTATTTTTGAACGGCAGAAGCTTCTAGGGGCGTTCGACTCCTCCATTCCATTCCGCCGGTATGAGACTAACTTTCTTCTTCGTTGTCGTCGATGCGCTATGATGTCTCCATTCAGAACCGGCGGCCCGGTCCCATCGCCCTGCCATTTGCAATTGTCAGTTAAAAGCGAATTAGTGCTCGCAAATGGGTGGATCGGTGCGCTAGATCTCGTCGATCCCGTGGCTTTAGCGAGCACGGAGCTCAAAGGACTCTCGCCCCTCCTCCGTCCCCAGCGTTCCCGAAAAAACGAGATTCAACCGACGTTCGGTTAAAGTTAAACTTTAACCTAGAATTTCGTATTCCGCGTGATCATGGTTGCGCGTCAACGCGGTCGCGTTTGATTAATTCTTCTACTTCCTCAACGCCCGAAATTTAGCGCAACGAACGAGCGGAGCACAACGCGCCATTAATCAGCCGTCACGGCTGACATTCTTGTACATCCCATCGAAAATATTCAGCATTGTTCTCCCGCGACTTGTTCGCGACGCCGGGCCCGCGTCTTGTAACCGCGAATGGATATTAATTATCCGATGAATTGAATGCTCGCAGTATTAATGCTCGGGCGTGATTCGACAGGGCCCGAAACGCGGGACGCATCTCGAAACGTCGCTTTGCGGAGAACTCGCTCGACTATTTGCGTTTACGTATCGTTCGAAGATGACGCGACGGAAGCGGGCATTAGCATCTTACAATCACCGTGTTGCCGTTCGCGTTATTAAAAGAAAAGCTGCACCTCTGGTCTCCAGAAATCGCGGGAAGTTTCGTTGCGACAGCTCGTTTCGGAGGTTCGATGCGTTCACACTTATTTCCGCAGCTCGTTCGTTGGCACAATGCAAGAAATTCCGTTTCAGCTTCAATCTTGCAAAGACGCTTCGGCCGACGAAATGAATCTCATTCTGATCTCGCCCCTGCCTCCCCCCCTCGAATAATTGCAAAGCGTGCGCTCGAACCGCTGGATTCTCGCTGTAAAGATTCGCTCGGCTGGAACAAATGTTTCTCTTGCATTCCGATGCTCGGGGAAATATAATCGAAGATGGAAGCCGCGCGCCTGATAACTCGTCGGCGTACCGGCGAAATAAATAACAAAGTACTTGGAATACGTTGACACATGTACCGAAACGGTCGGGGCTAATTGAAACGCACCGATGCGACGGCGAACGCTCCTTTTTCTCCCCGACGAAGCCAAGATTGGTCGCGGCCGTTGCCTATTAATATCGGGGGGAGGGGGGAGGGTATATTTCAATTAATCCAAATAAATCGGCACGCGACGCGTCGCGACGCCGGCCGAGGATCGCGCGCGGGCGCGTGCGTCGACAGGAGGAACGGAGAAAAAAGAGGCGCGTCGGGGCGCTTGCGCGAGGGGCGTCGCGACGGCCGCCGACGCCTTCGTGAATGAAACCGTCGCAGTCAGTTCGCATCAAGGCGTCCACCCTCGCTTCGACTTTCACGGAGTTTCTAATTACCCGGTCGGGGACACCTCCAGTGACATTCCACGGGGATAAATCATTGGCGGCATCGCGCGACCACCGACCCTGCCCGGCTAATTGCCCTCAGGTACGTACCACGAATTTTAAACGCGGCACAGACGCAACAGTTTGCCCGCTTCCGCTTTCGAATTACGCTTGCGAGCGCTGCCGACGCTCGCGCCGTTCCGTCGCGGAAACCGAGCATTCTCGAGGGCTGCGAGGCTCGGAGAACGATACGTTACGGAGATAGGAAGCGGATCGTCGTTCTCTTAAATTCGATGTGATATTCCGTTGGTTTGACAGTATTTTGTGAAATTGATAAGAGCGAAGGCTTTTGCTAGATGTTGCTCGACGAACATTTCGTTCGAGTCGTTCACCAGCGTTTATTAGATCGAAAATATATTTTATGGCGAACGGGATCATGTAAATCGCGTCATCGTTCATTTGATGAAGCGTTTGATGTTTTCTCCCCGTTTAACCCTTTGCACCCGAGAGACGACGCTGAGGCACCACTAAAAATTGTTCTGAAAATTGAAACTAACCACTGAAAATTGCGAACTAATTTTCAAATCGCCAAGATCGTTTGTATTGAAAAATCTATTAAAAGTGTCGAATGCGTCGCGAGACTAAATTTTATTTGCATAAAATACGCTAATTATAAATCACAGAAAATAGAAATACTGTAGTTTAGAAGAACTATTTTCGATTTAGAGTTCAAACGTCTCCGATTGCAAGGGTTGATAGCTTCAAACAGCTGTTGCTTTGGACTAACGCTTAATTCGAAGGGTTTTACGGTTTATTGAATAGACGAAGAAATAAAATAAATGAACAGGAATTTTTTCCAAGGATAAGATAGAATTTGCTTGAGAAATCATTTTGTCGACTAATTTAGACATTTTATCCTGTACGATCCCTGAAACTAGTTGCGCGAAAGATTTTTGGTTGACAGTCGACCATTATTGTTTTATGCTTTCATTTCGCTAATTGTAAAACCTGCAACATAGGAAAAGATAGAAGCGTCCACAGGATCTAGAAGATCAGATGACTGAATTTTCATCCGAGGAATCGAGTAAAGTTTAAAAAAGTATTCGACCGTTGAATTAGTGACTAAACCAAATGAATTCACTAACGAATCGAATTAATTAAAAATTAATTTCACGACCTAGTATCGTGTCATTCGCGCAACAGAGCGCGTGGCATAATCAAAAAGGGGATCATAAAAGACGAAATCACCATTGTCTGAAAAATTGAATTTTCATGCGAAAAGATTCGCGACTGCACTTGTATGCTAAAAAGTGTTCCGAGCGCATAAATATTCATTGTATCAATTACCGACCTCAATGTCACCGATGTTATTCGTTTCAACGCACGAAATGAGCAATCATTCTTCAAAAGCTACGCTCGTGTGCGCGTCGCGCACATAGATGGCCGAAAGAAAAGAAAAAGAAAACCTCGTTCATGCTCTGCAAAGAATACACGAGGAAATGTCGCGATTCTCATTTTTATTTACATGCATAAATCGTCGGAAGTTCGCTAATCTCGCGTGATCTACGGTTTCGCAAACCGATTTCGCTGTCTCTAGGGAAGATTCAGTTCGATCCCCGTGGACAGAGAATAATTATGTGCTGACAAGCCAGTTGGGGTATAATTGACGAGCGATAGAATCGTTTCGCGAAAGAAGATGCGCACGGGCGGAGAACGATGAATGCATTTGCATACGCAATTTATTTCCGCGAAGGCAACGCGCATCGTGATATACGGCGATCCTTCCGTGTTTACGACGTCCATACGTCACAAATATCCGTAGTTATCGCAAACGACCCGCTGAAATATTGAATCGGCCGGCACCCGTTCGGAAATAGACCACGATCGAGAAATAAAATCGTTAATAAAGACGATCGAGACACAATTCAATGCGCGCTGCCGAAGACCGCATTTTCATCCGACATTTGATGTTGGAGCAGTAACAAGCTTGATTATTGAACGAATTTTTACGTTTATTTTCCATCGAATATCCATAAACCATCCAGTGCACGTCCATCGACCTTAAAATTCAGATAAACAAAGATTTGGCAAATTGACTGTAAAAGAATAACAATGCCACAAATAACACAAAGCACAATTTCTATTATAAGATCGTAATGAGATGAAATGAAATGAAAAATGATGAAATGAACGTAACCAGACGAAAAGCAAAAGAAAAGTGTCGGTGGTTTTTTTTTAGAAAAAACAATTCCTTCTGAATAATCTCGTTTAATGATTCCGTGGCGAATATAAATGCTGCTGCCGTCTATTGTTTATTTATAACGAAATCGACTGTATCGACTTACACTGATTGGCTCCTGAACCGTTCATGTATATATCTCTTCAATTCTCCTCAATTACTAATTCGATCTAGGCCCCCGTGTCCAACGAAACAGCGTTACTCTCGACATTGCGTCAACCAAAACTATCCTTGCGTTGAAAATAAACAAACAGCTCTGCCGTTTCGAGCTTTGAATATGCGTGTCCAATGTTGCGCGCGTCATTTTCAGTTGTTATCTTTGGCCTCGCGACGATACCAGGAATAAGATGAACCGTCTCCGTTCCACGCAGCCTTCGCACACTTTCGCCATAAACGCTTCCACGCCGATCCGGACCTTCGACACGCGCCGACCATTCGATCGGAATAGGTCAAAGTTAAAGACGCGGTCCGATTCGGCTCGACGAGTCGAGGCCCGGCGGGTTTCGACGGTTCGAACGAAACGTTTCGGAACCGATAATCCAAATTCTGCTCGAAATCCGAATCCGGACAGAAACTGGCCCGAGTCGTCTAACTGGCGGCCGGCTTGGCTGTTTTCTTTCCGAACGATCGCGCGGCTGGCTGAACGTATTTGCGATTTCCGCGGGAACGCGCGCCGCGGCGCCAACTCAAACAAACGGAGCGTCGCGGCTGCGAGGAGACGCGCGGCGGGGAACCGGCGGAGAACAAATAATTCAGCCCTCGAGGAAAGCCAGAGTAGAGTCCTTCAGCCCCGACGTTCGCCCATCTCCTCGCCATCGATCCCCGTTCGCGGAAAGATAACTTCCAGTCGCCGCCGCGCGTCTCTGTTTCAAGGAATTTCCCGGCGCTGATTGCTTCAGCCTTTTCTTCGAGTCTTTCTTCTCGCTCGAAAAGAGGGAGAATTCTTTCCTCACTCCTCTCCTATGCGATAAAGTCCAACCCTCGCCCTTTATTCGCGGACGGAGTGCGGGACACGCCGAACAAGACGGTTCTCGACGATCGAATTAATACGTTCGGGCGTAAGTTTCGGATGAAAGACTTGCTGCTTGGAAGACGAAGTTATGGCTTGCGCAGGTAAAATGCTTGCAAAGTTAATAAATCACGTGAGAGACGGTCGCAGTTCTTTTAACCATCCGCTGTCGCATTTTCCTTGCGAAACACGTTTGTCGTACCGGACCGATCAGACTCAGTTCAGCATTCGGGCAACTGTCGCTCTGAAACTGGCATTACTATCGAGTCCCAAAAATTTTAAACTATAATTTGAACATTCTAGAATATTTCAGTTGCCTTTACAAAGTATATCGAATTAATTATTAATTTTATTGTTCTTATGACAGTATCACTTCCTCGAAAAAAATTGTGGGACACTTCGATCCAGTATGACAGCGGATGGTTAAATTTGAAAATAAACGTATAAAATACTGCAAACGCTTCGTGACGATTTATAGTGATCCAGAAAATCCGTATCTTCTCTGAAATAAATACAACGGAACACACAAATACGCAAGAAAGAATAGTCGGTGACAAAACCTCCTCAAAAATGTTGCGAATAAAATCAGCATGAAGGATACAGAAATTTAAAAACCGAACAATAAGTATGACCACTTAGAACTAAATTCAATAAAATATGTGTCTGAACAATATCTTGTACGCTTCCATACGTTTCGCTGGGAAATTCGGACGAAGCAAAGTTTAATTGGCGTATCATTGAAAAACGATCGTTATTTTCTTAGCACAGACGCGGCGGCGGACGAATCACTTTCGCCGCGAGCGCAGTATTAATTATCGCGCGAAAATCGTTTCGCAGTTTCCTCGCGGGTCAACGTCCACCGAATCGACGTGTTAATTAAATTCCGACATTACGGACCGCGCGTGCCTCTCCCGCCCCCTCCGCCGCGGTTTCATAATCATTTTAATGTTCCGCTGTCCCCCCGGAAGCGCGCGCAGCGACGTAAACAATTCTCACGGGCCGGATTTTAAATGGACTCCAAACGCCGGCGAAAGAACCGGCTGGGCACGCCGACGAATTCCCTTATCGTTTCAATAGGCCGCGCCGCTAACTAATTAACTCGATGCTCGACGACACCGCGGCACGCCGAGATGGCTATCTCGCCACGCAATTACGCCGTCCCCGCTCCGGCGAAGTGTCTACAACTAATTTCCAGTAGATCGCGGCGGAGCTTTTTAACATAGGAATCGTATATCAGGTCCGAGCCGCTCGGCGATTAGATCAGCGGATCAGCGGCCTCCTCTAACGTATGGTGTCGCGTCGGACGTGCAAATTAGCGGAGCACGGTTCACCGCTAATTGTTTGAACACTCGCTTGCCACCGGGAGGATTGTCAAGCTGAAATACGACCGCTCCGCGGTCCGCCTTCCCGTCGCTCATATATTCGACGATTACCACGACGACGACCATTCGACCGCCCCGAGCACCGGTCCGGCCAACTTCCGGTTACCTTCGCGATCCAGAGAGATCGTTCGTCATCGGAGCGTTTCGAAGAATTCGCGGTTGCACGCGGTACCTTCTATCAGAAAAATCGAACGAAATTTTCGAGACGTTCAGTCTCGCTTTGCATTGCTATTACACGGTGATCATTTTTGAGTTGTCAATTAAAATAATTGTAAAAAATTTGTAAAAACAAATTTGATTCGAGATTTCATCTTAGACGGTCATATAATGTCTATAAGCGCCAACAAATATTTAACGTGTATATTTGTTCGAAGGGAAAAGCATTAAATGAAATCGATGTAAGATTAATTTAGCGGCGACGCTAATGTTTGTTCGTTGCAAGTGCTTCTCTCAGCTGCTTTTTATTTATGATCGGACCTCTGCGTTGAATTCTACAATGTTTCCAATTGCTACAACGTGTCGCGCTCGGGAGAAAATGCTGTTATTGCTCAAAGAGGCGGACACGCAGGTGAACGCAATGTTCAATAATTTTCATCAATTTATTACGAAACTTTTCAATCAATGACGATACATCGCACGCTGTCGACGCTTTAATAGAATTCACGAATGTTCATTGCACAGTAAATTCTCCCCAATTGACCCTCAGCCTGTGCACAAAAATGAACAATTTGGGAAGAGGAGATACGATTGATTCGAGCCTCGCGACTCATTTTTATGGTCGCCGATTGTCGACGATTATAAAAACGAGCCGCAAGCCTCAAGCAATCGTATAACAATTCATGAGTTCTGTTTTAAAGTACCGATGGTGCGCGATGTATCGTTGATTGAAAAATTTCGTAATAAATTAATGAAAATTATCGAATACTGCGTTCACTAAATTGAAGGGTCAATTAGGGAGAATTCACCGCATGCGACTACGTATAGGAATGAAATGAGGTGATAAAACACTCGATCGTATCTTGCCCAGTGTCGAAATACTTATACACGGTGACGTAACAGTTGCGAAACCGATGCCATAACCGTGTTCAACCCCTGAATCGAACGATCGGCACACAGGAGATCGTGCGCTTTGGCGGCGACGAGTGAGCCGGGTTCCTCGGCTCATATAACGCGTCGCGGTAATTCCATCAACCGGAAGTCGTCCGTGGCCCCGTACCCCGGTCGGATCCGCGCGACAGGGGTTTTCTCGGAAAATCTAATTAAGCGGCCGAAAGCGGATGGCATCGGTGCGCGGCCCGGCTGGGTCCGCGCAGGAAGTCGTCCGCGGTCCACGTCCACCGGCCAGCATATTAAAGGTTCATAGAGAGAGCCGCGTGGATATGACTGAATGTTATATAAGGCGGTCTTAATATAGCGGCAACACTCTCTGGATCTTAGCCATGAAGCCGGTTGCCGCGAGTGCCGTGCATAACGTGTGGACGATGCTTGTAACCCGCGCGCGAGCGCGAGCGGAGAACCGGAGGACCGAGAAAGAGGAAGGACGCGGATCGTGTACTCTCTGAAGACTAGGGAAAGAGAGAGAGAGAGAGAGAGAGAGAGAGAGAGAGAGAGAGAGAGAGAGAGAGTGAGAGAGAGGGAGAGGCAACAGCGGCGGGGGATGGCGCGGTGAACGCCGGACAGATGCGTGTAATTTACTATCGCATTAGCCCTCGTGTATGTGGGAAAAAGGAAGTCATGTGCGGCCTTCGAGAGGAAGTCTCAGAAACGCTCGGATATTAATCTTCCGTGGTTTGGGATTATTAAATTGTAGCGCGGGATGCGCGCGGCTGTTTGTATTATTTTCGAGGCGACCAAGAATTTTCGACGACGAAACGTCGCCAGATCAATTATGAGCGGGCGCGGATTTTATGCTGTTATTGATGGTCCAGTGGGTGGAAATATATCAGAAGAATCTACGGACACCTGTCTTATTCTAAATTCACCGTAAGTTCTTGCGAAACGATATTCTGCTCGCTTGAATCGAACGGAATGACGATTTTGCAGTTACAGTTCCAAGCACGAGCTTCGACGCCGCGCGAAGAACGATTGTTTATTTTTATTTTTGCACACCGATATATCTTCAAAATTCCACGGCGATCGTGTTCGGATTTTCTTGATAACGAAAATTGTTCTTCCCAAGAGGTATTTATAAAAAGCCGAAGTTCCGCCGAAGTCTCGAATTCGCGGCGGCGTCAAGGCTGCTCAAAATCCGCATTTAAAAATACCACCCTCTCGTGTTAGAGCGCAGTTTTCACCGCGTTATCGAGATCGCAAAATTAGCACAAGCCGAAGTACTTACCGAAATGTAGTTTCTATTTTTAGGGCGGCACACGGTCCCGCATTTTTCGTTTCGCCACGCTTTGAAGCACCGCTATCTCTCCGGTACTAGATTCGCTTTCAGGTAAGTGTGCCGCTATCGTTCCGATAGAAATGCTCGCAACTCACGGTGTAATTGGTCCACGGATGTGTTGGCTGCACGTATTCGGATCTTGCGCGGTCAACGAGTGTACGGACCGGATCTGTGCGAGAGAACGAGATGCTACCGAACGCAAATATCCTGTATTTTCGATTTGTTTTCGTATCGATGTTCTATAAAAAAGTATGCTGCAAGGTCCCTGCGGGGCGTTCAGACGTCACTCAACGCCGGGCAATCGTCAATATTTATTCCCGGTGGAAACAGCGAGCAATGGTCGGACAGACGATCGGTTAAAAAAACACACGTAGTCGATATCATCTTCGATTTCAATTTTCATCCGAATTTAAGCTACGTCGGGAAGCCGCCGTTTGATTTTTTTCGACTGTCCGAAACACACGCGCGCCGAGCAAATTTTCGATCGGAATTTACCCTAGAAGAATATCGCGTCTCATGCTTTTCACGGAATTTTTCGCTGACCCTGTCGAAGAACTAGCATAGATTGAGCGACACTTCTCGGCTGAGTTTCATCAGGAATATTCAATCTCGCCGGAAACAGTCAATACTAGTCAGACCCGCGGACCAACTTTCACACATCAAACTTCCAACTTCGATTTCCAATATAGGGGGGTTCCTCTATGAAAAGTATTTCATATCTTTCAATTAAACTTTTACGTCGACAACCGAACTTCTGTACTGCGTCCGATAAATTTAAAGTGCCCGTACTTAAAACTTCCACAGGAAATTTTCATAGCCGAGCTGGAAATCGGTCGAAAGTCGTACG